GGCAACAGTTCAAAGAAGTTATAAGCAGGGTGGGAAGAATCTCTAAGAATATTTAACAACTTCCTCAAGCAGTGAGATGCAAAGATGTTGTCCAGGGTTGGAAGCTGAAGTCCAATAATATTTTAGGCAATTTTAGTAAGTCTCTGTAAATAAAAAAATTATCCATTTTAGAGCAAGGGAAAAGGGAAAAGATGATGGAAAAAATAGCTTGGAGAGAGTTCATCATCATCACCAAAACCATCATTTTATTTATTTATATATTTATTTATTTGTTTGTTTGTTTGCTTGCTTGCTTGCTTGCTTGCTTGCTTGCTTGATTGATTGATTGATTGATTGATTGATTGATTGATTGAGTTTTATACTGCCCTTCTAGTTGCCAGGGCCACTCTGGGTTATTTACAACTAAAAAAACAGATAAACAATAATAGAAGATGGTAAACACAATAATAATCAAAATCAATATTAAGCATCAACCAAACAAATGTGCAACAAAATAAAACTAAAAAAATAATAGGATAGTTTAAAGGCAAGATGGTAGTAGTATAAAATGCTGAAACTACCACTGTGTTAAGATGTTGAGTACTCTGGGAAAGAAAGCCTGTCTGAAAAGCCATGTTTCCAATGATTGTTTAAAGCTTCCCAGTGAAGGGGCCAGGCGGATTTCAGGCAAGGGATTGTTCCAAAGATTGTGGGTCACTATTCTTAACTGCCTGGCCTGGGAAGATCATGTAGAATGGGAAGATCTCATTGGAGGGAAATGTTCTGCCAGGTATTATAACAACCACCACCACCTTTGAACTGCAGAACTGGAAGGGACCCTCTGGATCACCCAGTCCAGCTCCTGTCAAGGAGTTACAGTGGGGAATTGAACCCCCAACCTCTGGCTCCACAGTCAGAGCCACCGAGCTATGCTGCAATTTCATACTGACTGGCATTTATCCACGGTTACCATAATGACAGATAAGTCACCACCATCATGATAATCTGCCATCAAGTCAAATCGGACTTCTTGCTACCTTTTTTCAAGGTTTCCCAGGTTTCGTCGTTGTTGTTTAGTCGTTTAGTCGTGTCCGACTCTTCATGACCCCATGGACCATAGCACACCAGGCCCTCCTATCTTCCACTGCCTCCTGGAGTTGTGTCAAATTCATGCCGGTCGCTTCAGTGACCCTGTCCAACCATCTTGTCCTCTGTCGTCCCCTTCTCCTCTTGCCTTCACTCTTTCCCAACATCAGGGTCTTTTCCAGGGAGTCTTCTCTTCTCATGAGATGGCCAAAGTACTGGCCCAGGTTTACCAAGTTCCCAGGTTTACCGTTCCCTTATTCTGGGAAGATGGTGAAGCAGGCTGGCTTTACTCATAAGAGGCCTACTGGGGAAGTAGAACTTCCAGCCTCTGGCTCCACAGGCAGATATCTAAACCATTGAACTATCCAGTCAGCACATGTGCCCCTTAGAGCAGGGGTCCCCAACCTCTGGGCTGTGGACCGTGCCGGGCAACAGGAACAGATGACAGGCAAGTTCTGCCTCCAGTCAGCTCATTCCTATTAGGTTCTAAGCCACTGCTGATCTAACAGGAGGTGCAGCTTCAATTGAAGTGTATCTCCTGCTCCTCTTTGCTGTTTCCATTATGAGCTTGATTCAAAGCTATCCTCAACCTACTGCATAACAAGTACCCACCCGTCCCAGACCTTGGGAGAATGGTCTTCAACTAAACTGGTCCCTGGTGTCAAAAAGTTTGGGGACCACTGCTTTAGAGAGCACGAAGACAACAGAAAGTGCTACTCTGCTTTAATTTCTTTTCTTTTGATCGTTTCTTATTTCCTTGAAGGGTGCAGGGCCACAACTGTTTTATACACATACACATTTCATAATATTTTATCTTATTTTTAGTATTCCACTGAAGATATTATAATGGAGTAGCTGGGCTTGATGTGTTGTTGGTTTTTTCCTTCAATTTTAGACGTTCCTTTCTGAAATAACATGGCGGGGGCTTTCTCCGTGTTTGGAACGATTAATCAAAATGTTTCCTACTCATTCTCTATATCTATTAAAAAAGCCAGAAATGGCACAGCAAATTAGAGACATTCCATACAATAATAATATTAGATCTCCATCATGATTCTCCAGGCCTGGGTCGGTCATATTCTTCAGGCTAGGCAACAATTGTAAGAGAAAAGACTCTGGAAATCTGAAGACATGTGCCGTAGTAAAGGGAGTGGGAGTTGTGAGTGAAATTGTGTCTCCTCAGAGTCCTTGTTTCGGTGGCAAATGGAATTATTCCTGAGAGACATATTCCCAAGGATCATTCCAGTCACTGATTTAAAATCTGAGGCAAAAGAACTCATTAGAGCCCATGGACGTTTGGTGTGCAGATGCGTGTGGGGAATCTCCCTGCTGCCAAGCCAACATTATTCTCCCTTCTAACCTGAGATAATCTTAAGAACTGCAGAGCCAGAAGGGACCCGACGGACCACTGAATCCAGCCCCCGTCAAGGAGGCAGAGGGGAAGAATCAAACTCCCAACCTCTGGCTTCACCATGGAGCTATCCAGCAGTTCATACGTACCTTCCACCAGAAGAGCCTTCAGCTGAGGTATGGGAAATATCAAAAGATAGGCATTGTTTGGGGGAGGCACGGTCCTGCTTTCTGTAACCTGGTGGGAAATGGGAAAGCATCCATTGTTAGCCTTGCCTAGGGCCCTTTTAAAAGCCGCCTCAGGTCCTTTCAAGAGAAAGGTCGGGTAGAAATATGTCTAAGAACTTGGCTAAAAGCTTGGTTATATTCCAGATGTTTGAATGAAGAATTTTATTAATGGGAAATGACAAGATGACCTGGTCTCCTGATAGTTAGATCATCTCCCTCCTCTCATGAAGTGTATCTCACAGAGAAAAATCCTCCTCATTCTGGTGAGATTTCTCTGTGCTTTCCTTCTCTCTTTTGGAGAAATCTTGTGGGCTTTCTTAGAAGGTCTGTGATAGATAGATATATACAAATAGAATTATTAGAATTCCTGCATAAATTGCCATATTTCCTGAAAATATTTCCTCAGAAGGAATATTGAGCTGGGTGGAGTTTGGCAGCAGCTTGTGAAAAAGAACATAGAAACGAACAAACACAAACCCCAACAAAAATTAGGAAATGAAGCACAGGGTCTCATTTTTTTTTCAGGGAGCAGAGCAATTGCAGTGATGCCAAGGACATCTTTTCATGGTGTGACCTAGAAGATGGTGGAGAATGGTTTTTTTTAAAAAAAAAAACATGTCCTTGCCATTCCTATCATCTTCATTCCTTTGTGAAAATGTAGTGTATGCCTTTGAATGTTGCACGATAGTGACTTGGTTTTGTCATTCCAGATGGAGTTGACCAACAGTTCCATTGTTCATGAATTCATTTTTCTGGGGTTTGGAGTTGAGCCACACGGACGATTCCTGCTTCTCATCTTTTTTACGACTCTCTATGTGCTCACCTTGGCCGAGAACATCACCATCATCACACTGGTGTTCCTAGATGGTCACTTGTCCCAGCTTCCCATGTACATCCTACTGAGGAACTTCTCCTGGCTGGAGATGTGCTATGTGACCACCACTGTACCTCGGATGCTCCTTGATCTGGCTTTTTCTCATGGGACCATCTCCTTCCATGCCTGCTTTGTTCAATTCTACATCTTCGTCTCTCTTGGCAGCACTGAATGCTTTTTCCTATCAACCATGGCTTTGGACCGATATTTAGCTATTTGTCACCCACTGCGTTACCCCCAAATAATGTCCCCCAATTCCTGCCATGTTATGGTCATTGCTTGTTGGGTTATTGGCTTCCTCTGGTACCCCATACCTGTGATTTTGATCTCCAAGTTGTCCTTCTGTGGGCCTAATGTCATTGATCATTTTTTCTGTGATCCTGGCCCAATTCTCTCCCTGGCTTGTCCTCCACTTGGAAATGTGCCCTTTATCTGTCAGGTTTTCATGAATGTTTTAGTTTTAGGCCATATCTCCTTCATCGTCCTCTCCTATGGCATTGTGATCCTCCATCTGATAAAAAGATCCAGCCAAGGCAGTCATAGGAAGGCCTTTTCTACCATATCATTCCATATAACAGTGGTGGTATTTTTCTATGGCTCAATTGCAGCAATGTACTTAATTCCAAAAGGGGAAAGGCATTCTGGGGTCAATAAGGCAGTAACACTCTTCTACACTGCTGTTACACCCTTTGTCAACCCTTTGATCTATTGTCTGAGGAATCAGCAAGTGAAGGAAGCACTCATCAGGTTGTTGAAGAGTAAGGAGAGTTGGTGGAAAAGAAAGGTAGTGACATAACCAGAAGGAAAGCACACAACCAAATAATGAAAGGGAAAGTAAATATCTGTGGAAATGGACCAGGAAGGATATTTTTCCAAGTTTTGAACTTTTTTACTTTGATGTGGAACTTCAAGGATCTACAATGTGACAGAGCCTTCCAAAAATTGGTTAAATCAACACACTTTCTTCTCTGTCACCTGCTGTCACTTTGCTTGTGTGGAGAGTGACAATTGTGAAGAAGGGAAGGGGGAGGGAGGGAGGGGAGAGGGGGGAGGAAGGAAGGAAGGAAAGGAAGGAAGGAAGGAAGGACCTGTTCTATATATGGAGGATCTTCATGTGAGCAACAGCATTGAAGTTTTCCTCAGAGCCATCATTTTCCAGGTGAGCAGACCTACGATGGAGGCAAAAGACAGGACCAGCATTCTCCTTTCCTTGTATATTGGAATAAACTCTTTTTTTGAATAACCAAATCCAGATTACGAGAAGGTTGAACTTCCACGTTGAGCACCAGAATATTAGGCGAAAATAGATAATTCAGTTTTAAAATAATAAACTTTTTTTAAAAAATAAATGTTTTTTTTTAAATAATAGGCTCTAATTTAAAGGTTTGTGATGTTTGCTGGGTTGAATATTATGACATGAAATGAAATAAAAATAGAGCATGCATACTCCAAATGTTATTTGTTTTCATACGTGCAAAAGTCTTCTTGGTACGAATGTGTGTGTGTCTCGTAAAGGGTCAACTCTTGATTGCTTATAACTCTTGTTTGGCTTTTTGTAAAAAAGAAAGAAAGAAAGAAACCTGCTTTGCAACACTTCAACTCTGAAGCAGTGAAAGGCAGGTTTTTCCAATGTTGCAGGAGCAGTGACGTTGTGTCTGGTTTTTTTATGGGAATTCTCCAAGGTGCTGAAACCCATCTACTAAATGAGACATATTCAGTGCAAGATTCATGACTCTCACGACATCTGAGGTTTCAATAGTAAGGCTAAGCAAAGACAAATGGAGGTGAAGAAATGCCATCTTCACCTTTCTGGACCAATGTAGTCTCTGTTTCCTGAGCCACAGGTGCACAACACATGGTCTACAGCTGCAAATGGATTTCATTCATGTGCTGCTACTTATCAGATGGGAAACATGGATGAAACGCTCCTTGATCCCGTGATTAGCCGAAAGACAGCCAGGGGAAGGGGTTGAGCACAGTAAATGGGAGGAAAAACCCTTTCCCCTTATTCCTCTGACACCAGGTCTTCTTGTGGTCTCTTGTCCCAGTGGTTTTCAGCCTGAGAGGGGGTGCCATCACTCCTCCTGTATCTCCTTTAAAGGTATATCAGCATCCTTCCTGTGATCCCGGTCACACTGTACTTGGACCCCCAAGAGGCCCTGGAGGCACGCCACCCCCATGATGCAAGCCGCTACCACACTTTCTTCTCACCGAGCGGCAGGAAAGCGGAGAAGACGGATCCGTCGGCTGAGGGTCTTCCCAAAGCGCAGGGGCATCGAGATGTCACCCTCTACAAGTACGAGAGAGAGAGCCAGGCGTTGCACGGGACGGGGAGGTTTTATGTATTGATTGATTGATTGATTGATTGATTGATTGATTGATTGATTCATTCATTCATTCATTCATTCATTCATTCATTCATTCATTCATGTGATTCATATCCCACTCCCATTAGTGTCACAGCACTCCTCTGGGCAGGTTACAACTCACAAAATAGAAAACATAAATAAAAATAGAGATATTAATAGAGATTTATGGTGATGTGGTGATTTTTTTTTTAAAGATTACTATGTTTGTTATATATGTTTTAATATGCTCAGTTGTTTAAGTTATGGTATATACTGTTCTGGATGTGCTGAGACAAAGAATGGCATATGGAAGGAAGGAAGGAAGGAAGGAAGGAAGGAAGGAAGGAAGGAAGGAAGGAAGGAAGGATGTTTGTAAGGTTG